ATATCTAATTTTGTACTGGGCCCAGTTCTTGCTTGGAGAAGGAGTAAGAAATACATTTTACATGGCCTTTGAAATCACTTTACAATTTATAAATCTAGCCTAGAAATTCTGAGCAAAATGAAATATTAAGAAAATACTAAATATCTACAGCTTCATCTCTATCCTTATTTATATATCCATATCTCTGTATTTCTATTACTACCCTTTTCTATCAGCTGTTTACTGCTGATATTCCTATTTCTGCCTGGAACTGGGGGCATGGTCGAAGACCTAGAATAGGACCAGAAGAGAGAGCTACAGTAACAGGTAACATAGCTCTAAAGATATCCTGGGAGAAAAGGTGAGGAGGAAACAGGGCCAGAGGGTGTTAGAAACCAAACCAGCCTAAAAAGGATGCAAGTGCAAGTCCCTGAGCAATTTCACTTCCTCTGGACGCCCCGCAAAGCTGAGCCCGGCCCTGCTGTTTCCGGAGACCTCGGCCCCAGCTGCCCCAAGCGGGGAGCGGGCTGAGGGCGGGGGCCGGAGGCCAGCTCACGAAGAACCTCAGGTCCTGAGGGTCGGGGCTCAGCGGCACCTGTGTGCAGGCGCCTCTGCTTCAGCGCCGCGATGCTGCCTGCAGCGCCGGGCAGGGCGGGCGGGAGCCGGGAGCGGCCCCCCGGCGACCCAGTGTCCCCAGGTGGGTGGGCGCGCGTGCAGGGCAGCTGGCGGGGTGGCGACCCGTGTGGTTTTGTGGCTCGGTGGACACTGAGAACCATCAGGTCCTCTGAGGCCAGTGTGTCTCGGGGTCCAGAGAACCGGAGCTTCCTCCTCCTCCCCGTCGCTGCCTTCGGCTCCGCCGGGCAGTCCAGCCTCTTTGCTGGGGGATCCGGGCACGGTCAGGTGGGAGCGCTCTGTTCAGGCCAGTGTGCGACAGCCAGTGTCCTCAACTTCCCAATACCTGGAACTCTACGGAGAACCCAGGGCAGGAGCCTCTAGTTTCTGAAATCACCTTGGAACATGTTTTAAAGTTGTGCCGGTGTTTTAAAGTTAGGTGAAATCTTAAAAATCTGTCCACATGCTACAGCAAAACCTCCTGTTTGTAGCATCCCGTTTACCTGTCTAGCCTTACAAAATCCAACCTGGGAAATTGCTAGGATAGATTGCGTCCTGCTTATCTGACAGGTCGCTTCATAAACCTCACTCCACAGGTTTTGCTAAAATAACTTGTTAAAAGGAAAAAACGGTCAACTTAGTTGAATACGTAAATGGTTTTACAGGCCAAATGGACATTAAGACATTTGTCGTCAGTTCTTTCTGAAGTATTTCAAATGCAGCTGTGAACTTTATAATGATTACACAGTGTTCAGTTTTGAAATTTAGAAAGAAGTCTTCACTTGGGTATTAGGATTACTGGAGATGGTCACAGTGAGAAATGCAACAAGAAAATC